ATTGGTATACCGAAACCTAAATGAATTAATAAGTTTTAATATTCTACGGTTGATAACAAACAGTGTACAGTATACATGTACATGTATAGTATCAGCATGGAGTACATGTACATTTATGTTTATTGCATTTACATGTAAATGTTGCTACATGTACAGTGTGCAAGTGTAATATTTATTGACTCAATTGTATGTACATGTATGACTATAATATACATGTGGAGGTTTACCAATTCACTAGTATATACTGTACATGTATTCTCTTAACTCTTATTGACTCACAGATTGATAAAGGAGTGTACATATCAAGGAAGCTATTGTTTGCTGCTATGCTGTTGAGAGTCAGTGGATTGTGGACTAAAGGGGAAACTGTCAAGAGTGGAGTGCATGGTGACTGGCTCTACCAGTGTGGGTGAGAGGTTCATTAATAGCTATGATTATTTTACTGTGTATGTACTTATGTACATTACACTTTGTTACTTTTGTAGACCTGTTTGATGCATGACATTATAATTCATTGACATTATTATTTTACATGTACATGTACAATTACAATTGAAATTTTACATGTCTGTAGATTGTGTTTAGATCAGCCTCATTGCAATTCTTCCTATTCATGCAAGTCAGTTCAGAGATATGGGAGTTTGATCCCAATGGTCAGTTACTGTATCATGATTGTGCTAGTACATATTACTAGTGTTTAGGTGATACTTACTTTGATTAAGTAGTTGATGGTTTTTGAAGGATCTCTTCTCCGTTTGGAAGGTACAGTACATGCAGTGTGTGTATTGATGGACACATTCATTGCACATGAACATTCTCCTATTATTGGACTCGCGTAGGCGGGTACTAAGCAGTTGGGTTGTCATTCTGTCCACACAGTTTAATTGATTTGTAAAAAAATTATCTTTTTGTTTGAGCAGTCTAGAGCTCTATTTCTTCTTCTAGCAACAGATAAAGTTGCTTTCTTTCATCTAGTTATGCTCTTGTAGCATCCCGTGGCACCAAAAGCTGTGAACTGCTAAACCAGGGACCTCTCTCCAGGTGAGAGCTCGTGTTTCACTCTACAGGGCCGAGATTTGCTTCAGAGGTAGAAAATCCTATCTAACGAAAAACAAAAAGAACGATTTTGTCCTAACTTCGTTGTTTGTGAGTTACAGTTGCTCAAAGTTTGTGATTTAGCCTCTTTGAGAATTTTTCAGGCGACACTGCGGAAAGCAGGAGCAACCAAACTCTCTCAGTGTCTTTTAAATATCTAGAAAAATTTTCTGTGCCAACTCTTTCTTGGAATAGAGCTTCAGATGCTAAAATAAATTTCAGCTTTTCTTCTTTCTCCTACCCATGTGCCATGTTTAGTTGTTG